AAACGTACGTCATTCACTAAAGAATATTCTATTTTTAATTTAAATGAAGACCTGAGATAAAATTTTGTACCGATGAAGCATGTAGCGAATTACGAACAAAACTCCGTTACGAAGTGGCAAGTGTAAAATATTCGTCTATCGCCTTTGAATCCGATAGGACTTACAAATAAAAAGCAAATAATATTTAGTCATTCGTAATTAATTCCAGATTGGAACGTGGTTTCCGTCTTTCGCTCCCGTGGGCCAACTCGTTGCTGGCATAATGAAAACTAATGAAACGACCATACAGATGATACTTTGCACCATTAAATCCAATTCATTGCGATTAGTTATTCTGATTAAGAAAACACGTTGGCACGCCGCACGTTTTTATTTACAAAACAGCAAAAAGAAATCCGACAAAATCACTCGATTTGCAAAGCAAATATACTAAATGTCACGTTAAATGATAAAATTTTACCAATTGTTCAAACTAAAACTGTAAATTTTAATAGGAAACCTTTCTTACAAGGTTTTACGTTTCTTTCTTTTTGATACTTAGAAGTGATGTGAAAGTCGCTCGTCTGGTTACAAGATGGCGACTACCAGATGGGAACTCTACTGGTTACAAGATGGCGACTACCAGATGGAAACTCTACTGGTTACAAGATGGCGACTACCAGATGGGAACAAGATGGGGACAACAACACGAAGTGAAGATGAAATCTCAAACTCTTCGTCAAGCAAAGTTTGCTCAGATACTCAGCCTAGCTCAATTCAAGCTCCGAATGATACGTTTGAGACCTTGACAGAGCTGTAGAGTATACTAAAAAGTCAAAGGAACCATACCTCTATGAGCGATCCTTCGCAATATATAGCCCTCCCAAAATTACTCTATGGGTCACGTAACCGTGCTTTTTTCCATCTCAGAACCCCCATGGATATGGGGATTTCTACGCGATGCCACCTTTCAACTGCTACTTGTTTTAGATATTTAGATATACAATAGATATTTCTACACGTGTTTAACAGGCAGCTTCAATTTGTGGATTAAGAAAAGTAAAATTGAAAATCCCGATGCACAGAAAAATTGCAATTGAAGTATTAATGAAAATGCAATTCCTACATTAAAAGTTTTCTATATTTTAAGACTCAAAGCTACAAACAACAACGATTTTCATAATTCGGATAAAGAGAGAATGTTTCACCAAAATAAATCACTTTTAAATGTTCTGGATAATCTTTAAAACAATGCGATATTTGAAAGGAATTTCATCTTAATTCGTTAATTGTGATAATCAAGACAATGAAAGTGAATGTGAGAATAAATTGCAGTGTGATTACAATTTAACAACTTCAGATTGGATGAGTTTTTGCTTTTCCTGAGATATTTAAAGCTACCTGTTTACATAATGAACAAAATGATTGCTTATTACATGCTTGTGATGAAATATGAGCCAGGAAAGTACGAGTAAAAGGACATACATACCACTACTTCTCGCATTCACTTTCGTTGTCTTGAATATTACAATCTGCTAATTGTTATTTCTAATTATTATAACAACAAATACTGGGTGCAAATACCACCGTGCGGTTTATAAAACCTCGGGGAGATCACGTGACTCGCGCCCCATTGGGCGCGCGAGGCAGCTGCATTTTGTGGACACAAAATATTCTAAGATTACCATTCAAACCATAAATTTATTTTACAAATCAGAAACCGAGTGTTACGTCAACAAAGATCCACAATTTTTACGACAACAATTACCATTGTCTTTGTTGATAAATTGAACAATTCGCAATAGATTTACGGTGGACATTTTCCAGCAAAAAATGTATACAACGTAACACAACGTAAGAAAAAAGAGTTATGGGATTCTGTAAACAAGAAAAGAGTAAAAGCAAAAGAGAACAACGAAGATAGAGAAGTTGCAACAAATACAATTATGGAAGAAATTGAAAATAAATTATCCTTGTTATTTCTCGACGACGATATCGACTCTCACAACGAAAAGACTCGCGTGTCAAATAATAATCAAATGATTTCGGAACGTTTCATACGAAACGCAACTGTAGGAGCGAACAAAGAACAGAAGACGATTTACGGTTATGGTTACATTTAAAAAATACTGGCCCAACGTCACCCGACGAAATGGCGGCGTTTACCTAAACGTGGCAAAAGAAAACAGGAAACACTAAAATCTTGCATAAAGTTTCATCAGTCTTGAAACACTTCGAAAGAATCATTACTTCAGACTTCGATATACTGTACATTAGCAAAATTTCTATAAGCCTAAACGAGCAATTATTTATTGTGACATTGTATTCTAAAAACCTGAAGATGACCTATGTTGAAAGAGATTGGAAACGTTAGTGTAATAAAAAATTTTTTTTGCCCAGCAAGCATTAGATGGNGAAAAAAAAAGGAGTAGGAGAAGGATTTTAACGAGAATCTTAATTAGAAAATAATAATGCAGAACTTATTAACTTCCAAAGAATAAATTTGACGTAATTAATTTAAGATCATCGAAAATGCGAGGCGAAACCCAGCCGTGGTGAACGGAGAATATAAATTTTGTTTTCAGGTTCTGTCGACCTTCGCCGCTTTATTTTTCTTCGTCGACGGCTGCTATTGTTTTGGCAAAAATGCCGTTTCCTTCGTTTTTGGACAGCTGACAGCCGGAAAGGTCCGAAACAGCGCCTCGAAGTCTAAAAAAAAAATCACTCGAGGCAACGAAAAGGATAAAATTATATGACGATTATTAAACTAGATCAGAAGCGACAGTTAAAAGGCATATTTACAGGATGGATTAATGTATTAAGATACACAATTACAAGTCAATCCAATTGCCTCAAAGATACACATTTCTTACAGGATATTAAGATTTTTTTTTTTCGAAGAAAAATATATTGTTTCCTTTACGGTACGATACGTAGAGCATAGCCTACGGTTCTTAATGATATAGAACGAAATTCGAATTTTACGTCATTACAAATAGGCTACCTTTGAATAACATCTATCATTCGATTACTACTAAAATATTTTACAATAAAATAATTATTAGGAAACATTTATTAATCGAGTAAACAATCTATAAAAGAATTAACTCGACGAAGGTAATTTTTATATTGTTAACTGACAGAAGAATGGTTATTTTTATTTCTAAATTACTGAAGAATTCCTTTGCCAAAAGGAAAAACAATTTACGTATTTTTATTAAGTGCAAATTTTTAACGAAATAATAGAAATAATAATAATAACAATAAAAACTTGGAATAAGGATAATTTAAAAGTGACGGAAACACGTGTTCTTTTTATTTTCGACGCGTTGTTTGCCTCATTGTCGAATAACCTTGAAGTCTTTGCCTGAAGCCATTGTTTAAAACGCTCGAATAGTAACCGGACGTTTTTGGCTTTCACCCATTTTCATTTCTTGAAATAAATTCACGCGATATGTTTATAGAAAATTATTCATAATTTCGGTAAATTTACAGCGCGTATCTCGTAAGTCACGCGCATAAAATGCGATCTTCGTCGTCCTCGTTCTCGATGAGGGAATCCGAAATGGAAAGTAGGCTCTCGACTTAACCTAAATCGCGTGAAAGAGGAAACGAATTCTCTCAAATTTCAAAAAATTAAATTGCCGGATTATAAATAAAACTCAAATATTTTATATAGAAAACAATAAAAGTTAATTTTCCTTCCTTATTTTAATTATTTTTACCTTCTCGGAATAAGGAATAATCGTCATCTAAGGTGTCGATATTATCAATTGGGCGGAAACTCTACTGAGATTTTGTGCCATACATTTTATATATTTTCAATTTTCTTTGAATTAAGAATTTATTCGATTTTATAAATTTATTTCACAGGTTCAGGTAAATATTCCCTTTCTTTAAAGCTGCTAATCTTAGACAAGGAACGTAGCTCTTAACATCCTTTGATACGTCCGGTATAGAAATATAGCTCTATATGAAAGAAGAATGATGTATAACCTTGCTTATAATCATTCTTTCATCCCTTTAATCCGTATATTTTCTCTCTTTTACGAGTTAGAAAACTCTTTGAGTGAATATTTCTCGGATTAAAGATCTCTTTCACGATTAATCGATGGCGAAATCGTAAACGAGTTAGACGAGTGGCTTTCGTAAACGGTGGATAGCTAACGATTCGAGAGATTTATCCTTTTAATTGAATTGCACGAGAGGATAAACGACATTTGTTTGGTTTGTCGAAACTTCCTTTCGACCAGACCGAATGTAGGTCGCCATTAATTCAATTGCCTTCGACTTTATTAATAATTGGTAGAGCTTTGATGTGGCTATAAATAGGCGTAAGTAATTTTCGCAGGAAAAAAAACCGCATTACCCTTTAATTTTATTTAGATAATGATTTTATTTCCGAATCTAATAACGCTAGAGAGTGAATTTTCGAGATCTTCGCGTTTTGAGGTCGAAGACTTTAAAAAAATAAACGTTAGAAATGTATTTCACATTAAAAAGAAATTATAGAATGTGTTCATAAATGTGATTAAGTGAAATAAAATTTAATAATAATAATAATAATAATAATATTGCAAATTACAATAATAGGCAACAGGCGTAAATAACGTAGATTAGGTGTTAGGTAAGCGCGCATTTTTTTACGCTTGTTAATAATTATAAATTACATAAACTTAATATTAATTGATATTTATATGAAAATCACTGTTATATTCCAAAAGGAATAATTTTATTTAATAATGCAGGCAATTAAAAGAGAGAAAACGGGAAATGATTGCTCGAAAGATGCGGTGAGAAAACGAGATCGTCATTACCACAAACGGGCGAAACTCCATCGATTCCAGGAAAACGATTGCTTTTATTTATCGGGGTCGATCGGATTTTCCGGACGCAGTCCACCTTCGACGCCTTTTTTTAAATGTCCTTCGAAAGTGCGACGTCAATCCGGCCGCGTAAAGACGTCGAGCGAGAGAAGGAAAAGCTTAACGACCATTGGACGAGGAGCGCGAGGGCGTCCAAAGCGACCAACTGAGGACCTCGAAACAATATAAGGACGGGAGAACAGTCGATATTCGAGACCAAATCTCGAGTTGAAAATGAAGTATTTGAGTCACCTGTGTCTGCTCTTTTGCTCTCTATCAGCCGTCTCTTGCGGCATTTACTACAGTTACTGCCCGTCCGATTTTTTGGAGAGATACTGCGGTGAGATTACATTTAACTTTTCTTAATTATCACTAATTTCGGTGACGCTGCTTTCTTTTTAATGAAGAATTTAATCTAAAAAATTTTTTTACTATTTCCGTATTCAAGTGATTATTATTATTATTATTTACCTGTGGGCACTAAGAAAACCTGTTTTTCTTCTTCTTCTTCTTCTTTTTTGTCCATTGTGGGTTCGACCAGGCTCAAAATATAGTGACCGGGTGGTAATGGACGGGGCCCGACATATCTAGAAAAAATTTCCGAAAACTTTCTGGGGTTTTATAAATCGTCCGGGTTCGATCCCGGGTCCTCCAGAGCGGTAATCTGATTCCTTGATTGCTTTGGCCAACAGTTTGGAGAGAGAGAGAATCATAATCTCTCTCGTATTCGCAAATTTTTACAATGAAATTTATGAAGTTGAGATCTCCATTGTGTTTGTTTGTTTTGTTAAGTTATGGCAACTCAGCACTTGGACTATCTGCCTAGGGGGATGCCTTTCGGGAGGTTTTTTTAAGGATAACTGGCCCTTATTCAGGAGTTACAGACGTGGAGAAAACTCAGAAAACTCCACGTGGCCATCCCGTCCTGGGAACGAAATCGCTTGGCCACTGATGGGCCATCTCCATTGTGAAACGAAAACTTCGAAGAGATTGAAATTTGATGCAACTCTTATTCATCTATTGAGAGATGTATCACATTAAACATTTCTTTTTCGTTATGCTCGTAAGGATATTCACGTATACCGTTCCATATTCTGAGCTATGTTAGCTATAATTATACATCATCTAAGGAAATAAAGAATTTCGCGTTCAAACGAGTCTTGAACCTTCTATGCTTCACAGACGTACGCTTCGTAGACCCATCACAATTAATATTTCTCAGAAGAGAAAGTATTAGTTGCGGTGAGAAGTGCAATTAAAATGTCGAGAAGATGCGAGTCGGTGAATGCATCCAGGCGATTCGAAAATGAAAGCAAAAGTTTGCACAATGATTTTTGCTTTGTTAGAATTATTCTGTACATATTCTACAAAAAAAAAAGAAATTTAGAAGCCGTTGATCTGTTTCAAAAGAAAATTACATCAATTGGTGTGGGTAATTTTACCTAAATTGAATGTTGTAAGCTTATTTATATTCATAGATTTAGCAATATTTTAAGAAACATCCTCTATATTGCGACATGGATATTTATAAATATTCAATATTTATTGGATATTTTTAAATAATGTAACGAAAGTATCTTGAATAATAATTATATATCTATTGTATATTTTTGTATATCTTCCATTTTGAATTTATTTGGGTCCTCTAATAACTGTTGTATTTAAATTTCATTAACTGTATAATTATTGGAAAAAGATAACTAATATTTGAAATTCTATATTTATTACCAACGAAAACGTTATTTTGGAGTACTTTTTATTACTTTATTAATATATATATTTTTTTTTATTGTTGATTAGATCATTAACGTTGTCTTTTTTAAAAATCAAAGAATTCTTATCTAAAATTTTAATGTTAATTATGTTTTGTTATAAAATAATTAATAGATACTGTAGATATTCTCGAATCAGGATGACCGAGACTCGAAAAGGTATCAGTTTGTTGCTCTGGCAAACTCGAACTTTAGTCCGGGTCTGGTCAGAAATATTTATTGATGGGTTGATCGGGATCTGTGCTTTTCATGCCACTCTGTATTGAGGATCTAGCTGAACTTCTGATGAAGTCGCTAACTGCATACAGGGCTTTTTGTGTGTGTGGTTTTAGGCCTTTTCCCGCTAAGAGAGCAGAAATGTTTCCATGCCAGAAATCGAACTCGGGCCTTCTAGGTGAAAGCCAGATATCCTTACCAGTAAACCACATGGGATGCAGGGCTGAAAGAGTTTAAAAAAATTATTTAAATATTACCACACTCAAAAGTATATTTAGATTAAATTCTAAGAAATTCATATGAATGTTTTCTATTATTTAAGGCAAACTTTCCGAAATTTTGCATTAATATTTTTCTTTAGTCAATTCGACTCTTGAATTTTTAGAAAATTCTTTAATGTATTTTCAATTCCTGCCTGTTTTATTTACTCATTATGAGTTCCTTCAGTAACATAGTAACAGAGTTCCTAAATCATTTATATATGAATAACAGTTTTCTATTCATTAATATTTCCATTATTAGTTTACATTTCGATTGAAAATAATTAAAATTATTTAAAATAATTAATATACAATAAATGGTCTTTTTAATTTTTAATAAAAGAAATAAACATAAGACAATATAAAATTATTTAATGATAAGAATTAAAATTAATTACATTAAGTTGAATTATAATAATTCAGGAATGTAATTAGTAACTTAATGCATGAATTTATTTGAAAATAAAACATGTTAACAAAGAAATACTAATTTTAATTAACTATTGTTTTAAAATTTATATATATATTTTATTCTTTCAATATTTTTGAAATCACGAAATGATTTAGATATGTTTATCTGCAATTATTAAATATATAATTTGTTTAATGATTATTATACAGCATTAAGCGAGAGAGACGAAGTGTTAGAGTGCATCAAAGACAAGGAAAATGTGAGAGTAAGTGATTCAATTTATTCTTTTAAGAAAGAAAAAATTCTTTTAATGTTTTTTTTAAATAATTTTTAACGCATTTAAAGAGCTTGGAGATTCTTGAAGGTTGTTTCAACTCCGTTCACGAAATAGGAACTCTGAGTATGGACGATAAGTTCAAACAAATTTGCAACTTGGAAGTTCACGTAAGTTACTTTGTTTTGTGTATAACATTCTAGGTAGATAGAATATACATATTATTGTGTATATAAAATATATTACAATATTCGATTTATATATGTTTATGTGAAAAATCTTTGAAGGAATATACTAATTTCTTTGGTATTTTCAGGAATACGAATTACTTCGAAAATGCTTTCAGAACGGATTATACTTAGAACGTAGACGAGGTAGTAAAGTACACACCGTAGTTGAGGTAAGTAAATTTTCCCAATTATGAAACAAAATACTCGGAATTTTATTCTAAGTTAACGAAATGTACAGTTGTCAAACCTCGTTGACGTCATAATGCAGATATTAATAACGAGGAAGTCATTTGATATGAATAAAAGTGCCAAGTTAAACCGATAAGTTTTGCGTCATTAGCAAATGCTATTTCGTTACATCGATAATAACCCAATATTCTGATAGTTAAACCAATAAGGAGAAGGCTTTCGTTCAATTAGAAGAGAGGTTTTTAAGGTCTTTTTCCGGTAAATTCAACGCAGAAAAGAAAGTTAGACGAAAAAACTTACGAATCTGTAGTAAAAGCTCTAATAAATTGAATAAAATATTAAGTTTTCTTATGTTTCATAGCTAATATTAAGACCGAAACTAAATGCTTGAAATTCATACTTAAGGTGAATATTAAATAGGTAGATTTAAAAAAATACAAAAACATATTTTTATTTGTATAGACAAGCCGCAATTTTTTTTTGATCTAATTTTGTATCCTATCGCCGAAAAAAATTCAAATACAGCGATTTAATTACTACTCGTACAGAATTTATTATATTCTCTCTTGCTCTAATTTATTACTGTATGCAAAGATATGCATGAGAGACATTTTCCGTTGCGTAGCGCCATTTTTCAACTAGTGGCAAAATTTGGAACTAATTCTTCTGGCAGACTAGATTTTCGCATATTCTATAGAATAGGAATTGTACTCGAGTATATATTGTACTCTATTTTTATACCCTCTCCAGATTGCTCTGAATATATTTTCTTAAAGTCTACATTTTATATAAGTATTCGATCAAAGTATAATTTGAAGTTATAATACAGGATGTACCATAAGTCCTGAAACATTGAAGTTATGGTGATCTACGTTTATTCTTTTATAGATAAAGAATAGCACTGAGTAAGGAGGAATTAATTCAAGTTATTTTGATGATGGGTATGAGTGTGAAGTTTTCGAAGAATTTAACAGACTGTATCTAGATCTTCCACCAATTACATGCATCCTGTTTAAACTCTTCGGCGTTTTCTCGCTGAGTGCGAGTCCCCACCATCAAAATAACTTTAATTCGTTCTCTTATTTTGTGCCATACAACAGAATAACTAAACTTATGGTTCCACATTTATAGGACATTACAGAAAATTTCAATTTATTCTGCCAAAGAAACAAGCATATCTATATTAAAATATATTACAATTAGATTTTAATTATCATTTTTCATTCCATTTTTTAGGACTGTGTTTCTAAAACCGAAGTAAAAGAAAAGAAGGTATCCTTTTTAATTAAATTTTTAGATTTATATTAAAAAATTGTATCATTTAAGCAAATAATTTTGCTTTAATTATTTATTTGATACATTTAGGATTGCAGAAGAAGAGGATTCCACGCTTACATCCATTTTGGTAAATGGATTTAATACGAGTATCTGAGAAATAATGTCTAATCTATAAGGATGTATACAAAATGGATAGAAATTACCAAAACTAACGAGTTCCATCGCATACTTTGATTTAAAAAAAAAAATATATATATAACTCAAATACTCGAAGATGTTACAGGAAATTTTTTGAATACTCGAAAGAATTTTTCTGTAAAAAAATATTATAAATTCTTGTCATCTAAGCGATGTTTTATATATTAATATGGTATTTATGAATCCTTTTACGAACAGAATAAATCCGATATATTTTTCATATAAAACATATAAAACGAAATAATGTATAAAGCAATATTAAAAGTTTTTATTGTATAATAATTGTATAATTTTATGGCAATAAAATGTGCTTAAAAATTTAATAAAAACTCATGAAACGATTATTATTATTATTATTATCAATCTTATGAAATTCTTAATGTTTCATAGGATTGAGAGATAAATACAGTAGACCCCCTATAACACTGTAGATAATTCCGTGTTATATAAATTCCATGTTGTACGAGTCTCTTAGCTTTTACAAATACATCAGCCGTTCACAGCCCGGCACACGTATTTGTAAAATCTAAGTGACTCGTACAACATGGAATTCATATAACACGGAATTATCTACGGTGTTATAGGGGGGGTCTACTGTAAATAAAAATAGAAAAGTAAAATGTCATCTGCACGTTTAATTAATGCTAGGAAAGAAATTTTACTTTCTACTATAAATTCTTCCAAGATTTCTACGCGAATAAATAAAGAATTAATAAGTCTGAGATAAAATACAGTACTGTAATATATTTTCTTTTACTTTCCTGGCTGTTATGTATAGTAAAGGAAAGTATTGAAATCGGTTTTTTTTTTGCAAATCTCTACGTTTTGAGATCTCCTGAATCCAAAAAAGTAAAAAAAGAAAGACAAAGAATTTCATGTGTTACCGTCTATTTCGTTTAATATCTCAGGATAGGATAATAATTAAGAATTAATTAAGAATAAAATAAGAGACATTGATGCTATTAGAGCCGATAGATATAATTGTCTCTGAGCTGTTAATGATTTTGAATAGTGTTTAAATAGATATTATATGGGTTTATTACGGGTAATATTTATTTTAATTATTAAATTTGTGCATAAAAATGAATTGTTAAATACTATTTTGATAAACGAAAGTGACACGGTTTACATTCAAATGTGAAATTTTAAACATACTATGGATTGGTAGGAGTTTTTATCTTATTATTGTATCCTAAAATCATGAAGTTTCAAATAAAAAAAAAACGTACGTCATTCACTAAAGAATATTCTATTTTTAATTTAAATGAAGACCTGAGATAAAATTTTGTACCGATGAAGCATGTAGCGAATTACGAACAAAACTCCGTTACGAAGTGGCAAGTGTAAAATATTCGTCTATCGCCTTTGAATCCGATAGGACTTACAAATAAAAAGCAAATAATATTTAGTCATTCGTAATTAATTCCAGATTGGAACGTGGTTTCCGTCTTTCGCTCCCGTGGGCCAACTCGTTGCTGGCATAATGAAAACTAATGAAACGACCATACAGATGATACTTTGCACCATTAAATCCAATTCATTGCGATTAGTTATTCTGATTAAGAAAACACGTTGGCACGCCGCACGTTTTTATTTACAAAACAGCAAAAAGAAATCCGACAAAATCACTCGATTTGCAAAGCAAATATACTAAATGTCACGTTAAATGATAAAATTTTACCAATTGTTCAAACTAAAACTGTAAATTTTAATAGGAAACCTTTCTTACAAGGTTTTACGTTTCTTTCTTTTTGATACTTAGAAGTGATGTGAAAGTCGCTCGTCTGGTTACAAGATGGCGACTACCAGATGGGAACTCTACTGGTTACAAGATGGCGACTACCAGATGGAAACTCTACTGGTTACAAGATGGCGACTACCAGATGGGAACTCTACTGGTTACAAGATGGCGACTACCAGATGGGAACTCTACTGGTTACAAGATGGCGACTACCAGATGGAAACTCTACTGGTTACAAGATGGCGACTACCAGATGGGAACTCTACTGGTTACAAGATGGCGACTACCAGATGGGAACTCTACTGGTTACAAGATGGCGACTACCAGATGGGAACTCTACTGGTTACAAGATGGCGACTACCAGATGGGAACTCTACTGGTTACAAGATGGCGACTACCAGATGGGAACTCTACTGGTTACAAGATGGCGACTACCAGATGGGAACTCTACTGGTTACAAGATGGCGACTACCAGATGGGAACTCTACTGGTTACAAGATGGCGACTACCAGATGGGAACTCTACTGGTTACAAGATGGCGACTACCAGATGGGAACTCTACTGGTTACAAGATGGCGACTACCAGATGGGAACTCTACTGGTTACAAGATGGCGACTACCAGATGGGAACTCTACTGGTTACAAGATGGCGACTACCAGATGGGAACTCTACTGGTTACAAGATGGCGACTACCAGATGGGAACTCTACTGGTTACAAGATGGCGACTACCAGATGGGAACAAGATGGGGACAACAACACGAAGTGAAGATGAAATCTCAAACTCTTCGTCAAGCAAAGTTTGCTCAGATACTCAGCCTAGCTCAATTCAAGCTCCGAATGATACGTTTGAGACCTTGACAGAGCTGTAGAGTATACTAAAAAGTCAAAGGAACCATACCTCTATGAGCGATCCTTCGCAATATATAGCCCTCCCAAAATTACTCTATGGGTCACGTAACCGTGCTTTTTTCCATCTCAGAACCCCCATGGATATGGGGATTTCTACGCGATGCTACCTTTCAACTGCTACTTGTTTTAGATATTTAGATATACAATAGATATTTCTACACGTGTTTAACAGGCAGCTTCAATTTGTGGATTAAGAAAAGTAAAATTGAAAATCCCGATGCACAGAAAAATTGCAATTGAAGTATTAATGAAAATGCAATTCCTACATTAAAAGTTTTCTATATTTTAAGACTCAAAGCTACAAACAACAACGATTTTCATAATTCGGATAAAGAGAGAATGTTTCACCAAAATAAATCACTTTTAAATGTTCTGGATAATCTTTAAAACAATGCGATATTTGAAAGGAATTTCATCTTAATTCGTTAATTGTGATAATCAAGACAATGAAAGTGAATGTGAGAATAAATTGCAGTGTGATTACAATTTAACAACTTCAGATTGGATGAGTTTTTGCTTTTCCTGAGATATTTAAAGCTACCTGTTTACATAATGAACAAAATGATTGCTTATTACATGCTTGTGATGAAATATGAGCCAGGAAAGTACGAGTAAAAGGACATACATACCACTACTTCTCGCATTCACTTTCGTTGTCTTGAATATTACAATCTGCTAATTGTTATTTCTAATTATTATAACAACAAATACTGGGTGCAAATGCCACCGTGCGGTTTATAAAACCTCGGGGAGATCACGTGACTCGCGCCCCATTGGGCGCGCGAGGCAGCTGCATTTTGTGGACACAAAATATTCTAAGATTACCATTCAAACCATAAATTTATTTTACAAATCAGAAACCGAGTGTTACGTCAACAAAGATCCACAATTTTTACGACAACAATTACCATTGTCTTTGTTGATAAATTGAACAATTCGCAATAGATTTACGGTGGACATTTTCCAGCAAAAAATGTATACAACGTAACACAACGTAAGAAAAAAGAGTTATGGAATTCTGTAAACAAGAAAAGAGTAAAAGCAAAAGAGAACAACGAAGATAGAGAAGTTGCAACAAATACAATTATGGAAGAAATTGAAAATAAATTATCCTTGTTATTTCTCGACGACGATATCGACTCTCACAACGAAAAGACTCGCGTGTCAAATAATAATCAAATGATTTCGGAACGTTTCATACGAAACGCAACTGTAGGAGCGAACAAAGAACAGAAGACGATTTACGGTTATGGTTACATTTAAAAAATACTGGCCCAACGTCACCCGACGAAATGGCGGCGTTTACCTAAACGTGGCAAAAGAAAACAGGAAACACTAAAATCTTGCGTAAAGTTTCATCAGTCTTGAAACACTTCGAAAGAATCATTACTTCAGACTTCGATATACTGTACATTAGCAAAATTTCTATAAGCCTAAACGAGCAATTATTTATTGTGACATTGTATTCTAAAAACCTGAAGATGACCTATGTTGAAAGAGATTGGAAACGTTAGTGTAATAAAAAATTTTTTTTGCCCAGCAAGCATTAGATGGTATGTGTTAGTCCTTTTGTTGAGAACGCTGTGGATGATATTGCGACATCATCACAATGCCGGGCTGCAATTTTTAATAATATTTTTAAATTTATTTGATTTAAAATTTACGCTCTCCACATCAAATTAGTACTGTAGTGTTTTGCCCCTGTACATCATACTTTTCCTTTAACAATAGAGTCATGCCGATCATCTATTAACTGCTTTCAGCGAAAACCTTTTGAATTAAAATAACATGACTTCCGGAAGTTCTTATATAGTAGGTTAATCGGGACTTCTGGGTCATAAGTTTTCCATATCTGGTCTCGTATTTTATCTATTTAACTTCGTTCTCGAGATTGAGGAAAGACAGTATTAGTAATTTTAAGTGTTTTAGGGCTGCATTTGAAAATTGTAGCCCTAAACAATTGTAGACCTATAAATTCCCACCGTCCTCCGTCCGTCCGTCCGTCTTTCCTTAATCTCGAAAAAGGATTTAGATAAATTTCTGAGAGCCAAGGGCATAGAATTGTTCTATATCATTTACGGGCACACAATCATTTAGATTAGCTCAAATCATGTGTCTTTTTGTCTTCTTCTTGAGATCTGTTTCTGGATGAATGTTCTTTCTTATGTTCTTTAACGGCACATAAATAAACCTTTTTTCTTCACTGTATTTACCGACTTAATAATTCATTTAGGAGACTTCGGGAATCGGTTATGGGCGTTGGTCGTATGGAGATGATGTGGAATACGTCCTCCTCTCGAATTTTGTGGCGTACTCCCCGAATGATACTAAATTCTTTCTGTTTCTGACGAATTTTCACCAATCAGCATCTCGTAATTCTCCACGTGAACAGGAAAAAAAGGGGATTTTACTTGAGGGGGTTGACAGTTCCCAGGGTGACTAAAATTTTAGGACATAAGGGAAAACAAAAAGGATGTTCAACTTCCGTTGAAGGAAGCGAATTTTACCAGTTTCCTTCGTTTTAGAAAATATAATTTTCCCACCAAAATCATAAATATTTTCGTCTAAAATTTTTCTATTTCGATTAAATTTTTAATTAATTACAGGTGTGGTTCGCATCTCACAGATTAAAGACCAGACCGAATATGGAAAACTTGAGGCAGGAGGCCCCGATTAACTATATACGAACTTCCGAGAGTAGAAATCCGGAAGTCACGTTATTTCAATTCACAAATTTCCCCTGAAAGGTGTTTAATGACCGGCACGACTCTATTGTTAAAGGAAAAGTTTGATGTACAGGAGAAAGCCACTACAAATTTGAGATGAAGAGCATATCATATGTTTTAAATGAAATAAATTAAAAATGGCATACAGAAACATAGCTGACTAGACCTGGCATTTTTTGGCCTACCTAGGTCCTTGTGCCAAAAAACCCCAAATCCAACCAACCAACCTAAAAGTAAAGCCTGTGATTACCAAGAAATGCTTAATTATAGGAGTCTTAACTTTTATAATTATTTCTCAAGTGGTAAAGTAGGTGAAATTTTAATTAATTAATAAATTGTCACAAAACATTTGTGTCCTTAAGACAAATGCAGAACACCATTACAAACACTGCAAGTAATCATTCTGTATGGACTTGTGTCTTATGATGGCAAAGTTATTTATCTAACTGGATGTATGTACCAGTACAAAAGTTTATAAAACCTCAAGGCTCCAATGAACGGTTACGATAAGGAATTATCAAGAAAAAATCCATATCTGTATGAAGAGGAGAGATACTCATTTTTCTAGCGTTATCTATTATATCGCAAATTACAGCGTTTACAGTAGTTTAAATCATAAAAAAGCTGTCAAATAAGATCTAGTGTTTATTCAACCCTTGCCCGAAAATATCGCAGAGATCGAGACTCGAATCACCGTCGTAGTTACAGAATTAGCAAGAGATATGCTGTTTTGTTTGGTTTTATTCGATTATGGCAACGATATAATGCTCGGAGTTTGGGAAGAAATTGAATTTAGACGAGATGCCTGTCGTATCCCCAAATGGTGCTCGCATCAAACAAAAATTAACTGTTAAAAGTATAACTTGGTGTTTCGCCATAAATTACAGAATCGGTTGAGGCATTGAATCTTCTAAAATTCTGCGCGCTTTCAGAGAGAACAGTCGAGATTGTATAGGGCCCGGTGGTAGAGAGAATCCTTTTTTATTAATAAAGTCTTAAATAGTTTTAGAGTTTTCACCCCTAATAAATTACTTGGGGTTCTTACCCATAATTTATTAGGGATGAAAACCCTAATAAATTATGGGTAAGAACCACTGGTTTTTCCCCATTGGCTTGGGGTGGCACAACCAGTGGTGCCACCCCAAGCTTCCCCCAGATTTTATAGCTTTCAGTTATAAAATCTTGAATTACTGTATGTGAGAATCCAACCTTAACCCGCTTTAACTTTAACGACCCAATTTAAATCGGCAACGACGTCATACGTGCTCACCAATTGTTGTTCTCAGCTACCTAAGAAAATCTCCACTTACACGTTCCCGACGATGAAAACGACGCACTCCCGCGATCTTTTGACCTTTAGGTCGAGCGAGAACAGACGGAAATCGAAATCGACGGTCGAAATAGGCAGTAGTCGCCCAGTCTTCGAGAAGTGCCATCATCCCGGATTTTTCCCTCCATAGTTAACGGTGTCAGTGTCGAATTGGATATCTCACCCTGGACATTAGATAATTTTGTGCCGAAACCTTGGATAACCTTTCTCAACAAGAAGAACGTGGACATTCGCTTCTCCAGGTATTTAGCAACGCGCGAATCACTGTAAACTCTCTCTTCATACCGCGAAATTAGATGAAGTTCACCCTAGTTTCCTTATTTTAATCCCAATCGGGATATTCTCGTATTGTACTATCTAATGTTTTATAATTTTACAAATAAACGTTGTTTCGTTGACCTAGTCTTTGCTTCCGGTGTTCTGTTTCTCACTCCATCCCTAATCCATTCGCTCACACACGCGATCGTTTGCGCAAGAACTTAACGGTTTCTGTGTCTATCCGTGAAGACAGTGGTGTGTCCTGACGAAATTTATCATTACGACCTTTGCCAACGCGATGTCGATTGTTAGTTTTCGTTCCTGTGATACCAAAGTATAGGGGGGACCCTTCGGCATTGTCACATGTATATAGAGAAGAATTTGTCATACCTTTCTTATTCGTTCAGTTTACTTAATATTTATAATATTGATCTATTTTTAAACAATAAAACGAATTTAAAATGTCAATAATAATAATAATAATAATTGTGTAATTCTTAACAGAATTAATCTATACGTTAATCAGTGCGTTCTTACATCTCTGATTAATGTAAAACGTTATAAAAAGCTAGTTCCTTTTAACTAATTTATAAAAAAAAATTAAATTTTTAGTGTTAAAAAAGACATTTTAAATTTCAAAAAATATATTTTTATAAGAATAGATAATTGCCTTATAATTACAAAAGAGAAGAAAAATACAATTGTTAGTTTTTATTAATATAAAATTTGGTCAGGTTGTCAATTATTTCTATAGCTTAAAGAGATTTTTCACTCACACTGAATTTCGTTTAATAATGGATTCAAATATAGGATTTGGTAAAATTTGTTTAAAATAGTTGGAAAAATCTTTACATCAATGAAGATTGTACACCACATCAAAGTATAAAACTAGATAAGAATCAGTACATGACACAGTCAATAAATTTCATTACATTTACTTTAAGATTAGACTATTAACAAGGTTTTATAAATAAATTCTTCTTCCAAGAATGCATTTGTTTTTTTGGAAAATTTTAAAATATACAGTATATAATAAATTAATCTATCATTTAAAAAAAAACTGTAGCTATTGGAAAACTGATTACTGCGTAAACAAAATTATGCAAAGCAAAAAAAAATGTTTTTTATAGTTAAAATTAACACAAAGTTGTTATACTTCATTCTCTGTGAAGGAACTATTGTATTTCAATGAAATTTAAGAAAGTGGCCAAATTATTTTTTTAATTAAATAATTGGAGGCAAGTTTATTATGTAAATAATAAAAAATCATTCCAAAATGTAATACAAACTAAACAAAATAATAATAAAACATTTTTTTATTTTAAAACAAAAATCTTAAATTTAACCAAAAATCTAATTTACTAAAATTACTTTTTCAGATATCCAGTATAAAATGACATATGAATCAAGATCTTTGATAGAAATGTCTGCCTTAATTATAATTTATAAGCAATATAAGAAAATCCATCTGTCAGGAGATGCATAACAATTCAATTTGCGTGGATGTTCTTTACATTTATGGTAAACTTGTTGATAATGTCATTGATTATAACATTTACTCTGATCATAGTACTAAGAAATTTACCAAAATACAGTTTTTGATTATTGAAATTACTTTTTCAGTTAGTTAATATTTTTTTTACTAATACTTGTTTTACACAATTTGATTTTTAATAACTGTTTTAAGAATTTTTTAAATTCCATCTTTACAAAATTAATATTGCTTTTCTTTGTAATTTATAACACTGTTTTCAAACCACTAAATACCTTTGTTTCTACCATTAAAATATATTCTCACATATACACTTTGCATGCAAATTGCATCCTAACAGTTAAATATTTATGATATTTTTCTTTTTATTCTAAAAACAAATTTGAAAAAATAAGATTCTTTAACGACAATAAAACAAAAGCAAAACTGTTTTGTGAGTTGTATAAATTACTGGAATGTAATGAACATACAAAACACAATGAATATGTATTTAATCAGCTATTTTCATTCATGCACGAACAAGTGACTTAAAGGATATAATAGTTCATTAACATTAGAAAATAAATTGAAACTATATGATGCAATTATTAAGCAGACAAACATTTCAATCAAAAAGTTGATATAGATGCATATTTTATACTATTATTACTGTAAAAAGTTGTTATTTTATATAAATGAAGTAATTCATATCTTAAATACTAAATTTGAAAAATTGAAATAACTTATAAAACAAACAAAAAATGTATTATGGCCTGAATGTAACTCATTGAAATACATTGTAACAAATGAAAACTACTTCACTCAAAATATATACAATATGGTATAAATCTATGTACACTAACATATCACAAGCAAACATTCAATTTTTGATCAAATAAGAAGTCTTTTACTCATCCTGTAAGTCGGAATTGTCTCTAGAACGATAATTCCGTTTTGAATTTTTTGCACTTTTAAATTTTCGGAAGGTCCAAGTCGTTGGTTCTGTTGTTTCGTTCAAATTACTAACATTATCACCATTGTCTAATTTTTCTTCACCCATATTACAAGAAGGAGAAACAGTTTGTGAAGTATTTAAGGAAGTTGAAGATAAACATGTATTTGTAACAACAGTTTCTGCACCATTTACAATACCATTCACGTCTTCATTTTCCTCTGATATATGCTGCAGAACAACAGTTGAAGAACTTGCTACCTCTGTATTGTTTGTATGTTTAGCTTGTTTAGCTGGTTTTGATTTAGCTACATATCTTTTCTGATTTTCTGTATTGTCATCAGAATCCGAACTAGGTTCACTATAAAGTGATCTTCGTAATATTTTGGTTCGTTTCAGTTGCAAAGCTTTCCTTCTTTCTTTATTTTGCATATTGTTCTGACACTGAAGAACTGAATTTAATATTTTCCTTGCACTATTTAGACTACGAAGCTCATGATCTGAATCTAGAGATAAATTATTACTTGACGAATGTTCTGACAATTTTTTTCTTTTTAAACGCTTCTTTGTAAGTTTTAGAGTTGTTTTCACTACTCTAAGAAGCTGTTCGTGTCTTTTCTGAGCAATAAGTTCAGATATTCTATCTGAATTTGTCTCTTCTGAATCTTTATTTTCATCTTTCTTTTCTTCATTTTTATTTGCATTTTGCAGACTCTGCAAATTAGCTTCTACTCTACTAGTAAGAGCATAAATATAGGAACGTGTCTGAGGACTTAAGCTTCCACTGCTTTTTGGAGATTCTTGAATGGATTCATCTCCTGATGATGACGACGATGATGGAAATGTTGGCAAGGAAGAAACAGAGCCATCTGATTGTATTTCAAAACTTAAATTTGGCAAATCTGAATTAGTACTAGAATTATCAGAATCAGTAGTCCATCCTTCTATATCTCTTTGAACCTTTAAAAGAAAAAATAAGTTTTTTGAATTAAGAAATATATAATAAATTCTTTCAAAACAATACAAATATATTCCTAAACTTTAAATCTCCATTTTGAAAAACTGCATATGTTCATGTTAATTGAACAAAAAATTTTTTTACTGTAATGCAAAAGAAACGTTATTTGTTAAACAATTAGAAAGTATTATATAAGTTTACTGTTAAAATTATTACAAACAGGTGACTAAATGACCATAAATATAAAGACTATCCTTACTGAATGAAAATAATAACAACTGTTTGGCAAACAGTAGATGTATACTTTACTATTTACATGTAGACTAAAACTAGTAGACGTATACTCAAAAGTCATCAGAGGAAATTAATCTATAGCTTTAGATATTCTTTAATCTTACTTTAAATAAAATGAAGCTTTTGAATTGATAATAATTGGATATTACTGTTTCAAATATTTAATTTATTCAGAATATGATTAATCTAGTTTTAGATTTTCTTTAGTTTCTTCTGATAACTTTGCAATATTTTATATTTTAAATGTTCTTCGTTTGTGATAAAGTTTCTAAAATTTTAACTTGCAATCATTCATAGTCTAATAATATTTACTACCAGTATTATAAATTAATATTAATACTGTGAAAACCCAGGCTAGTTCCAATTATTTGATTAAAATTTATCAGATTTAATTTTTTAAATTTAGGAATTTATTTTGCTAAACTACAATGGAAAAGAACCGTCCAGAATATTCAGAATTTTTTCCCACAGACTGTACTTCCTCCATGAGTGACACAGCTTCTGAAAAACTATTTGTCAGGATAAGAGAAACAAAATTTGCAGATTTGAGCAACAAATAACTTCACTAAAAATGGGCATTGGAATGCCAGGGGAGGACCCCCAAATAAAAGAGTAAAGGACAGATGACGACACGCAGAATTTACCGATCAACCTAGTGAGTGTATTCTAGCCATGCTCCACCACCGATCCCTTCAACCACCTGCTGTTTGCCAGACCTTAGCTGCCTTTAACCACCATAAACATTCAATTGAACATCTACAAATGTGAGAGGTCTGAAACAGCAGTTACAACATCTGTGGGCAAATGATACAGAACAGCAAATGGTGCCTATGTGCCTTCATGCTTGATCATATCACCACACAAATCCAGGCAAGTGGTCCAGAAACTAAAAGTTACTTTAAATTATACTATTGCTCCATAGGAAATTGCCCTTTGCTACCACATTATAATTAATTATCATCATCATTATGTTTATACTAATAAAATTTCATCAATTCCAAAGCTGCTTTCTTGATGCATTAAAATTTTTTGCCAGAGTGTAATTTTCTAAAATAAATTAATAACTAAATTGGAAATAACAACATATATATGGCATTAGTAAATTAGAAATATTCAAACTACCTAGCTCATTGCACCAAGTAGAATTTATTAAAGTGATAATTATAAAATCCAATACTATTTTGTTTCCTGAATAAAATTAGCTTTTATAACAAACACTTTAACAGATTATGAAATACATTATTTACAAGATAAAATATTACACTTACTTAAATTCTTTTTCTGCTTATTAGCTATAACACATCTTAAATATTAGAATACAAAAATTTATATTATTTACCAATGAATCAAAAAATGCCATCATTCGAGGATCTTCCTGTATTGATTTATGGCTGTAATCATGAGTCATTAACTGTCCACTTTCCAAAACTAAACTAATATATTCTTCTGGACTATAAACTCTTCTCATACCATCTTTGACTCCATTTATGCAACCAGTACCTCCAGGTAATGGAAAGGTACTCCAAAGCTATAAAACAAAAAAATAATATATATTAAAATTGAAAATATATTCAAATTTTGTCTGCATAATAGCAGGATTGACATATATTATTTTTAGTTTAAATAATTATTTTCTTCTAATTAAATTTTTTTAACATGACATCACTCTTCAGTTTCCTCAATATTAAAAATAGCAAAACTAACTCTTTATTTATAGAAGTCACTTCTAAAAATAAATTTTTCATTTTCAGATCTAACTATTCAAACAGAATTCCTACAAATCCATTCAAAATCATTTGACTATAACTAGAATTTCATAATTTTAGAACTTTTAAAATACTTTTTAGCTTTATGCAAAATATAACATTACAATGCTTTTAAGCCTTTAAAAAAGTAAAAAAAAATTAATGTAAATAAAGTGCTTTGAAGGAGCATCCACATTCGGGTGGAGCTTATTTTCACAATTTGTAGATATGAACCTCCTACCCTCTATTTCTGTTCCAATATATATAGAAAACATTTATGCCAAAAATCTACTCCATTGCTGAATATTTACTGGTAGCTCATTGTCATTGAAGTTTTATAGGTTCTAAATAGTAAGGATGAGCATATGGCAATCACAAGCTTTAACCACAACGTATCCATTTTAGTACAACAGTTTGTAAAACTATAGTTGGTCATCTCAATAAATAAACAATTAAATTAATCACACATTAGTTATATGACATTCCCAAAGAATTAATTTCTGTCATGACTCATGACCTTTATTTTGGTGACATCATCAAGTCTTGCTGCAAATGTTTTTCCCTGTTTCTAGTTGAAGCTGACTCAGTGACTTATACTGCTTACATCAGCACCTATTGGCTATTTTATTTGGCTTGTATGGACAAGTTCAGGCACATCGTTGAAGGACTGCTGATATCATCAGATGCATAGACTATATAATCCAGAAACTGCTCAAGCAAATCACATAATACATTTTTGTTCATTTTGGCAAAGTTATTAAATAATAAATATGGTGACAGCAGCAACTACATCTAAAACTGAAGTGTACCTCTTTGGTTCAACATAATTGAATTAACTGGCAACAAGTTGCTATCCTTATGTCAGGCTCTTGGTTTGTTTTTACATCACCATCTTCAACTGAAACAAACTATCAGTCAGTCATCAGCTGTTTGGCTGAGACTCCACTAGCGTAAAAAACTTTTAATCACGTGACCATGATATTTTACACTGAGCAGGTCATAAAACCAGAATAAAAGCAAGTTGAGCAGTGTTCAACTTTATGCAAATACGGCTGTAAAACGGTACCTTCAACCAATCAGAAGTCAGTGGAACTGTGTCATCATGACATTGTGTGAAAATTGCAGGAAATAAGCTTTTATGTACGTTCTATCATGACTACTTCAAAAAGACCTCACCTTGAATAGATTTTAAAAATTATTGAAAATATTCAAAAATATACATGTTTATATGGCAAGAGACATCCTGACTATAAGAACGAATGCCTAGAACATTTTATGAACTCTGACAATTATGAACAATCAAGCTACGATGCTTTTGTTTCCACCAATTCATGTGCGAAGAAGTATTTACTTTTGACACTTGGGTCAGCACTGTCGCTGCAAAAACTTTCCTAGCCAGACCTCCATTGCAATCCAGACACAAATGCAAATAGGTCACATGATTAAGTTTTTATGGCAAAGGTTTTTACACCCATTTTTACGCTAGTGGAGTCTTGGCCTTACAGTCAAAAAGCTGACAATATTTTACAAAATGGCAAGGATCCCAATGGTGGATTCAAGAAACTGCATAACTAAACTAGAACGAACATTTGAAGAATGGCATTTGCTAAAGAAAAACAAGGGGTGACAATCTGTAACACAGCATACAAATGAGGCTGAATTTGTTAGTAAACTAGATGAACTTTTTCATATTTCTCATCTTAGAGCAGTTGAAATGATAAAAATTCAAGAGGATCACGAGTTCTTGTTAGCTCAGTGTGCTAACAAGAACTTGTGATCAATGGTAGGTGTGGATGCAAAATTAACTGTGAAGAAGAAATGATCAGCACAAAGACAAGAACAGATGCTTAACAGAAAATGTAGAATGGAAAACTTGATGAGAAGTGGTGGTGAAGAAATAGCAGACCTAATATCCTCAAGCAGCAGCACAGATACTGAAGAAGATGCAAGCTGTAAAGGAGACAGAGTAACTAGTGAGGGAGCAGTTGGAGACAGATTATCCAGACAGCAAGAAAGAGACACACACTGCCTCTACCAAAATAAACTGATAAAGTTACATTGAACATAGTACTGAAAATTTCAAATTTTGTGAATTGTGATGTTTAAAAATTTTTTTGTTGCATTTTGGTTTGTAATCCGTCAAGTTTTTGAATATTGTAGTCTACATGACTATTTAATTTGTCTGTAATTGTCCAAAAAAAGTGAAACAAGTCTGGTTTACCAAAACAGGTCATGTATGTTTTCATCTATACTATTATTATAAAGAAGTAATGTTTGTAAGTAAGTTTGGATGTAGCGGATAATCTCCGAAACTACTCATCCAATTTCAAAAATTCTTTCACCAATATTTAGAATGGAACTTCAGGGTGGACATAGGCTGTATATTATTCCGTTAAACATTCATATAAATTAAAAGATATAATCTAGGTTAAGGCTTTTATGTCCAACAGATGGTGCTACGAGTACGACGCCCTAAGTTTTTTTCTGTGAGGCATTACACTTTTCTGTGAAAATGAACTAAAGCGGATCATCTATCTATCTATATAAATAAAAATGTAATGTTCGTTTGTTTCTACAGATTCCTTTGACACAATGCTGCATTCGAATACGCACGTGTTTTTATGTAATATACATGTCAAAATTCCCCCCACTAAAGGGAGATGGTTAGGATTAAGGCTTACTGTAAAAACTCTGCTTCTATTTATACTATTTTAGATGCGGTTTTTTGCGTTTTTGATTGCGTTTTAATAGGGTACGTCAGCAGAATGTACACTAAGAAGGGATTTTTCGATATTCCCCCTGCGGGGGAGAGGGACAAGATTAAGGCTTACCGTGAAGAACTTGGCTTCTATTATACTATTTTAGATGTGGGTTTTTGCGTTTTTGATTGCGTTTTAATAGGGTACGTCAAGAGAATGTACATTAAGAAGAAATTTTTCGAAAAATTTCCCCCCCACGGGGGAAGTGTTATATATTTATAATAGATATAATTTTGAGCCACAACAACGCGTGGCGGGGTCTGCTGGTTTGTCATAAATCGCTCTTTTTATAAACTTTGTGGTCATTGAGCTACCTCTAAACATTAATATATCAAGTTCAAATTTCTTCTGTAGTAATTTGAGACCAGTTGGAATAGTTCTGGAGAGTAAGACCACTAAAAAGTAAGCAATTTATTTTTTCCCTATTTTAAGCACTACCCTAATCCACATCCATAGATTTGATATGGAACCTTCTGTTCACTTGTTAAACAGCCTGGATCTGAAGATTATTAACGTTTTTGAGAAAAATTAAAGTACAGTAAGACCCCGCTTAATGCGGGGGGTGTGTTCCTAGATGACAAAGACTAAAACAAAACAGTGTCAAACAAGGTCATTTCAACAGAGTAAATAGGAAAAGGGAAACACGCGAAAAAAATGAACAAATTTTAGGTTATTTTTATATTAATTTGCATAATAATATATGTTAAATAACACAAGCACTTGCACACAGAAATATAAAGTTCATTTTTGTGATGAAGGTCCTGGCTCTTCTGAAATTCTTGTTTTTTTGTGATAAAGTTGTGTAGTTTCATTTGTCACTTTTTTTCTTTTCCTTAAGCAAATGTCAGTATCAGGAGATTGCATCCAAAACACCTCATCTTGCTTTTACACTCCTTTCATAATCTGGATCATTCACTACAATTATATCAACAATTTCGATTATTGTTACCAAACTTTTACTAAGGAAATCTGTAGAGAAATGCTTTGTGTTCTTCATTTTCAGAATCACTATTTTCCAATTCTGCATGTATTCCTTATTCTTCCAGTTCTTGAAGGTTGTCATTGGTAAGGCTCTCACCAGAAACCTGTAGTAATTCCTCAATATCCTGCTCGTCTACATCTCCTAGTATCTCCTGCTGTATTGATTAAGTTGACCAAGTTGTCAACCTAATGATATAGCAACAGGCTCTTCTTGTTGAGAATTCTTGGATACCTTCAGCCATAACTTCTTCCACACTTCATTCATGCATTTATCAGTTAATTCTTGCCAAACCAAGTTGATATTGCCTATGGCATCCATAATGCTATAATTTTTTTCCAAAATTCATAATTATGTATTATAATAGTTTATATTTGTTGCCAAAATTATTCAACATGAATAAAGTAAATAAATAAAAATGAATGGAAAGATTAAATAATTAAAATTCATAATTCCATAACAGTGAGAGATTTTTCTTCGTGTTCTTAACATAACTGAATAATATTTTCCTCTTTTCAGCAGGCAACTAACAACAAACTCATAACTGGCATGAACTGGGGGAATCCGACTGTCTAAAAATTAATACAGTTTTTTAATTTTTACAAAATAATAATAGATCATACCTTGACTACTTTTTCTACACCAGACGAAGCAAAAATTGTATTTGCTTGATTATATCTTACTTGATTCACAATTGATCTATGACCTTTCAATACTAAGTGTGCTTCATTTACCCATATACCTGAAAATTAAATTTAAAAAGAATTTTTAAAATTTGTTTTATTTTATTTCATTTTTAGTTTTTACTAAATAGTATTACCTTTATTTTCTACTGGTATTTTCCACATGTACAATTTAAAATCATCTGAACCAGACATTACATACTGCATAAACAAAAATATATTTATTAAATTATCATTTGAAATATTTAATTTACTAAAATAAGAATAATATAAATGACAATAATACAAAATTTATAAATTATACGTAATAATTTCTGAATATTTACAGAATTCATTCTGAAAATAAATAATTACTACTAAATTTATTGAATATGTTAATTAACCTGATCTGAATCACCAGCAAAGCAGCAACTTTTCATCGTACATGAATTATAATAACCAGGATGATCAAACTCTGCAACAGGATATGGTGAAGAAATGTTGTATAAAACTGGAGGAAGTCTCCTTCTTAAAGCTAGAAGACTGGTGCCACTTAAATTGAAACGAACGCTCATTGAACTTTGGGTCGATAAACAGCCACCATATCGCAACACACAACTGTAAGTTAAAGTTCATTTAAATATAAGTTTTCTTAGAGTAGAAACTTATATTATTAAATACATATCAACTATTCTATTATACTAATTTGCATATTGTATATATGTATAAATATTAATTTAAAAATTTATGAACGTATCTAATTTAATTATACCATAAATCATTGAAACAAAATTATATCATTGTACTGACAGTTTACTTAAAAAAAAAGATCAGATTTTCACCATTGTTTTCAATGATATTTTCTTCAATAATTCAAAAAATTTATTTTTGATTGTTACATAAATTAAAATTATAAAAGTTAACTGTAAGCAACACAATAAAATTCCTTAGAATAAAATATATTTAAATTATAGATTATCATCTGATTAAAAACCAATTCTATTAATTCAAATTAGCAAGTATGTTATTTAATTTATTAGTTAATAAAAACTTAATTTTTAATTTCAATTCTTGTAATCAAATTAACAAATAACCTGATGTATGAGGCATATCCAAAAAGTAGTTTTTAATAGTTTATCAGAACTTAATGATGTTTCAAAACTAATGATTTATTGCCACAGTATGTATGTACAAGCTCCTTACACTACTTTTCAATAGTTTCCACCATTGTTCTGTGACTTGTAATGGAGTTTTTGTATCCCAGCATCCTAGAGTGATGCTGCTTGTAATGCACACCATGTGTTCACAGTTTCTTTGACATCGTTATCATGCCACTAAGGAACTTTTTCATAAGCAAGAACAATGGAAATGCTTGGCATTAGGTTGGGGCTGCAGAGGAAACTAGCCATTAAGGAATCATGTGCAACACCCCTCTCTTATCACTTGTAACAATACAACTCAGCAATTCATCACTCTGCTCATTTTTTTTGTGTCAGAAAAGTCAATGCACTGCCAGCCCATTTCATTTTGTGATTTTTCGATAAGCATCTTTGACACCCACCACAAACACAACTTTCAAAGACCCAGGCACAATTTCATGAAGAAGCGAGCACAAAATTTGTGAAAAATGCAAGAAGTGACAAAATGGTGAATCATCTGTCCTTACAAACCTTTGCTTCCACCATATGCACCAAATTTTCATTAGCCACAGAATGTTGACTGCTTCATCGATAGTCATGCATATTTTCACATTCTTCATTAAAATATCTCATTCATTTATGTACCACTAAATCACTCATGCTTGTTCTCCATACATCTCACACAGTTGACTATGCATGCATGCTGGTTTTCACATCTTGCATGCAAGAAACAGATAACAGATCACATTTTACAGGTGGACGTGGACAACTCAATTTTCTTGAAGAATTTAACTACACAAAATGAAGAGTCAACATGATCCAATTGTAAGTAAATACCATCTGCTGAATGCCAATGGACATAAGAACTTAGCATATGTGCAACAATCATGACTACAGTGCAGCAGCACTATTTACAAACAGAACTTACTTTCTGAATATGCCTCTTACCTATATTTTTATCTATATACAATTACTATTTTTAGAAATTAAAGTTTTTGAACAACAACTTTTTATTATTAAAATTAAAAACAACTAAATGCTTTAAAATGTATAAAATTATTATTTTAGATATAAATTCCTTATTAAATTTTAACTATCCATTAGACTTTTAATATATCTATGTAGAAAGAAAGGCATTTATTTTAACTGATACCTATTTGGTTTTCTAACATCCCATAAACCAACGCCTTCTTTTGAATTTGCAGTTGCAATTAATCGTGGTTCTACAGGATTATACATGACAGCATGAAAAGCTGAATTGTAATTTGCAAGCACAAAAGGATCTGAAAAAATAAATTGATTTCATCAAAAAGTGTAAATTTATGAAAATCTTTAAATATATATTTATGTAATGTACCTGAAGTACCATGTTCTCGAATGTCACATATCAAAATTCGTCCATCATCACAAGCACTTGCAAAAACATTATCATTCATTGGATCAACAGATAATCCATAAACAGCTTCTTCATGTAAGAAGACATCTAAAGTTTTTCTTCTAAATTTAAAAAAATATTTCCATTCATTCATTACAAATATTTTAATGATTAATATAAAATTTGTTATTAATCAATGTTTTATATATCTGCTGTATTTTATTACATACATACACACACACATGGGAAACTTAAATCATCAAAATAAAACAACAAAACAGTTTCTTCATGATTATGATATGATTCGTTTTGTAACTTTTACTTTAAATATTTACATTTTTATATAAATTTCATAACATTTTCTAAAATTGTATTTAAGTTTTCACCAAATTATTTATTCATACTAGTACAGTTTTTGTTTACTTGAGTGATAACATTTTATTGCCAAAAATATGCAAAATTTAATTACATATTAGAATAAATGTAACATAATTTTCAATTTTCAGTCACAAATTATTATTTTTTCCATTGATATATGTAAATAAAAGTAATTGTTATAAAATTCTAAAATCAAATACAGTATAAGAACAATTTTGTTATACAGTAGACTATATTGATTGTAATCACAAATAAGGTTATCAGTTGGTTAGTGTTATCAAAGTTAGCATATCCCAAAATCATAAATTTAAAATGCATTACTTAACTATAATCAGATTATCATTACAATGTCATCCATCACCTTAGTAAGTTACTAGGCTTTTTTACATACACACTGTTATAATCCTCAACATATGCTGATACCGTGCAATTTTTATCAATGTTAACCAGTGCTTTAAATGGTAATTGTTCTGTTTATTTGCTTTGCAATATAATAGTTTAAACTGCCAACATTACACTAGCTGTTGTTGAAGTTAGTAGCAGACAAACATTTAATGAACAAAAATTATATATTAATTATTAAAATAATAATTAATGTATAACTTGAATATTTATTAATTTATTGTTTTAACATGTCATTTTAATGTTACAATTAAAAAAATATAATTCTCTCTAATTATTCTTATTTACTCCAGTTTATGTTATCACCAGTTTAGGTAAGTCCCAAAGTGATTACAATAAGCAGAGTCTAGTGTATTTTGAATTAGACTACGCACTAAATTTGATTTTGTTGCAGTCAATCTAAGTTTTGTCTGTTAGCCACATATTATTGTACATTCACAAATATTTAACATTATAATTACAAAACACAAAATTAGTTCTATTAAATTTCAGACTTGTAATATTAATTTTTCAAATTAGTATTAATTTTAATACTAATTTAACATTAAATTAAAACTTTCAAAATTTCTCAATATGAATAACTCATTTATGGTCTTTAAATTGAAAAATGTATTAGGGTAAAAAATTAATTTACAGATTATCATCGTTATTTTCACTTGTAAAAATGAATTTAAATATTTTTATAATAAAAAATAATAAAATTAACAATATCTTTGTTTGATTAAGATAGCACAACAATCAAAATATTTAATGTTTCATATTCTGATGTTTGATATTATTGATACATATACAAATAACTTTAAATATGAATTGAAAGTTTTAAAAACAGATGTATACAGATTGCTGACATAGCAACATTAATAATTTCTCAAATATAACAATATTCTTTGCTTCTGAATCAATAACAAATTCTTTAAACAGATAGTGATATGTCCAAGGCAGCAAAGGTACTATCCTGCTACTCTAGGGGACTCTAAATCAAATCTGAGCAGTGAACCTCTGGGAATTTTTCAAGGGTATATATTGAGCCTGTCCTTCACTGAATGGCTGCCTCAGTGTAGGGCTGGCCTTACCCATGGACATTAAGTCTTTCTTTTTAGTGTCCTTAGGATAGAAAGAGTGAAAAAATTCTTTGAGAAGAATTTTATTTTTAAAAATAGTATAGGCTATATGACTTTACTGTTTTTAAAATTTAAATTTTTATTATTAATAAAATATTAAAAATTTATTTTAACTTGTGGTTTAGCTTTTTATAATCGGTAAATAGCATAAAAATTTTAACTCTAATTTATTTTATGATTGTCAGATATGACACATTTATATTAACCAGTGATCACATGCAGTTTGTTTATTTTTTTTAGGATTGCATGCATAAGAATGCTTTTCTGCCAATTTTTCACATTTAATTACATTGCATGTAAATACCATTCCTCAAGTTTGACAATTCTGAAAAATTCTGTATTGTGTCTTCTCTGCACATGCAAAATTTTATCATAGTTTGTTTAGTTTACAAGAGACTGTTTTGTTTATAGAACAATGTCCTTGACCAAGTTCCTGTAGGGAGCCCTTAAACTTTCCAACAGCACAGGCTTATGTGAAAAAATTCAGTTGAAAATAAATGATGAAACGACAAATATTTCTCAGCAAGACCAGAAAACAATTTTTCTGTATTTTTTGGGCATGAAATAAAACTGCAAAAACATTTAAATTGTTGAAGATCATATCACCCCAGACTGTCTTACAGAGATAAGTATTCAAGGTTATAGTGAATTGCAAACTGCACAAGTAATTATGTCATACAAAGCTGACAAACATCCATAATGTCATGCTAGTCTCTTGCAGCAATCATGAGAGACCTCCAAGATATCATTTTTGATGATATTAAGACACCAAAAATGACATTCAGTGTGGAAATTAGTGTTATGCGTATGATCATGTGACTAAGGAAAAACTATGTGGTCTCATGCCAAAAGGTTGCAATTTTCTGCAACTATTTTTTACAAGCCTATGATAAGCAGAAAAATTTTTTCAATTAAAATTTTTACACACTCAGTTAACATGTAGCTTGAGGATATCAAAGAAGCACAGCTAAGTAACTAAATTTTGTAAAAAATGCCCATGAAAAAACTAGTAGACAGAAAATTGCTGCTGTCTTAATGCACGAGCACCCAGGTGCCCAATTAATTTATGCACAACTAGAATTTAACACTAATTTTCCAATCACCCAGCAGTTGTGTAGACAGTCCAGTGCATGCTTTACCAGGGGTTTATAATGCTATTAAGACAGCCCTGACTAAAGCATGTGATCACAGGTTAATTATAAAAATAAAATTAGGGAGATGAGAGATTTTTCAGTCTACAGATATATTAATTATTGCTTAACTGCAAAATTTGTGCAATAAAAACTAATTGGAAAAAATATCCTATATTTATTATTATTTATTAAATTATATATAAATTNATAGACAAGTTCTATGCGTGATAAAATTGTCTTAATAGAAATTTTCTAACTTAATTGGTCATTTTTATATTAAGAAACTCATCAAATAATTCTGTAAATAAATAAATGTTCAGTGTAATAAATTATTAAATTGGATTAAGTTAGATTAATATTATGTAATATTATTCCAAAAGAACAAATAAATGAAGAAACAGAATGGAAACGAAATTGATTTCATAAAAAATGCAAAAAAAAAAATTATTGTAATCAAAGGAAAAAAATAATTATCACGAGAAAAGATGAAAACAATGAAATGATATCTTTACTGTAGCAAGTGTCTTTATATGTTTTGTACCGGGGCTGTGGAGTTGCATAAAATTCTACCGACTCCAACTCTGACTTTTCCTTACCATCCAACTCTGACTCCGACCAAGGGAGGACTTGTTACTGAAAGAGATCCGGAAATTCATCAAGTGACCTCAGAATAAAAGATTCAATAAATAGAGTTCTAATAAAAACAGAGCGTAGAAACTTTTTATTCCAATGCTAAAAGACTCCTCCAAGTTATATATAAATATTTATTCGTTAATTTTTACTTTTCCAGCTGTTATGTATAACAGAAGGAAAGTGTAGCACTCGGTCAAAAGATGACCCTTTCCAAATTTTTACATTTTTGGACTCAGGACACCTTGAAATTTCGAGATATGCAAAAGATTCGAGGTTTTTTCTATATGTGTGGATGTTAGACTGTTTGGGGGGGGGCATAATTTTGTTCACCCTGTTTAAAGCCTAATAATTTCTGTGGTCAAAGTAGTCAGAATCAGAGTCAGATGAGGACACAGGAGTTAGTTATTAAGCGTCAAAGTGGTTGAACTAAATCATGTCCCCATATACATTATAACATCTTATGGTGAGAACATCTTAACAGGTTTTACTGTACTATTATAAAATGACAAAAAAAGTTTACTTTGAGGGTAGAGACAAGTTTTATTTTATTTTAAATTTTGAACGCTAATAACGAGTAAAATATTCATTAAGAGATATGACACATGACCCCTTTTATGTCTTCACCCTGTCGACTTTTAATTAAGAACCAAAATTTAACAGTATTAATGCCCCTTTATACGCGAGCTACAGTGCCACATTTCGTTTCTTAAACTTTACCCATTCTGAGATATTGTTTAATATCTCAGAACAGAAAATAAAGAAATTAAACAAATTAGATGTCAACACACATAAGCACGGGAATTTTTCCCCTATTATTGACTTTTTTGAGGGGTTCAGGAGGTCTCCAAACGTGTAGATTTGCAAAAAAAAAGAAAAAAACCTGGAGGGTCAAATTTGACACGATTCCAATACTTTTCCGTTTTATATACAAAACAAGTTGGGAAGTAAAAAGGAGTCAGAGTCGGCAGATCTTTTGACGACTCCAACTCCGGCTAAAACACCAAAACTCACACTCCAAAGCCCTGTATTGTACAGTACATTTACTTAGAAATTCATAATCTGAAATTTTTAAATCGTAGCCAAATTGTAGCAAATTAAATTGTATGGTAATAAATAACATGTTTGAAATGCATACATTCTGTGAAATAAAGAAACAGACTTTCATATTAGTCTTATGCATTGTTGGTTTACAGAACAATTATACTTCTACTAATTGAAATAAGTAATAGTTCTTCACTCTAATTTCTTTGACAATTAAAAATCTCCCATGTTATATTACAAAATACCTTTATATTCTGTATGAAAAAGTTTAACCATTATCTTACGATATGAATAACATATATTAAAAATTTAAAAAGCTATTAATGTTTAGAGTAGGACGTAAAATACTCTAAAAGAATAAAATATTTTATAATAATTTTTTATTTCAAACTTTCTCTTTTTCTGAAACAGTTA